GAGCACAGAGTGTGAGGATTTTTATGGCAAATAATGCCCATTAGACAGTGTCCACTGCAGAAGAGGTCCTAACTCAAGCAGGATGAGTAGGCCAGCAGATGTTGGTCAGCCTACATCAGGGGTCACCCGAGTTCTGACACAGCAGGCCGGTGGATGGAGAAGCCATGGTGGCAGAGATGGAGGGATGAATGGGTCAAACAACTTGGACTCTCTCTCCAAAGCCAACATAGTTAGTCCACCACTAAACGTCTGACCTGTCAGCAGCAGAGACCAGTACTGAGCTTCTAAGAAGGCCACACGGCCGCTGGGTGGCAAGTTGATTGCACTGAGCCCTCCCGACATGGAAACAGTGACATTTCATCCTGACTAGGTTTGACATGTGTTCTAAGGGTGGGTCTGCTTTTCGTGCCCACAGCACTTCATCCAGCACACTATCCAAGGACTCTGACGTGGAATCTGACAGAATACTGCCTCAGATTGAGGTCTGATATTCTGATACAGGACGTCACAAAATGCTGCCGCTGACCAAGGGGCGCACTTTACAGCAAGATGGTGTGGTGGCGGGCACTTGACCAGAGGCTCCCCTGGTTGTAACACATACCACACCACACCGCTGGAAGCTGTCAGCTTGATGGACTGGAGCAATGGCCTGTTGCAGGCATAGCTGAGGCTCCAGGTTGGAAACGACACCTCGTGAGGTTGGATCAGTATTCTTCAGGATGCAATACACTTCTTCAATCAATGGCCATAACATGGGTCAAGGGTCCCTGGTAGGTAGAATACATGGGTCCAGAGACCAAGGGATAAAACTAGGAGTGGCCTGCTCACCATGGCTCCCAGTGATCCATTTGGAGACTTTGTGTTTCCTGTCTCTGCGACTTGAGGCCCTGCTAGCCTAGAGAGCCTGATACTCAGACGTGGGATGCTTCCTTCAGAGGACACTGTGAGAGCCCCACTAAACTTAGAGCAATGTTTCTTCTCTGGTCACTTTGGGTTCCTAATGCCATAAGACTGACAAATCAGCAGGACTTGGGGCTGCCGCTACATAATGGAGACAGAGAAGAGTGTGCTTGGCCTCAGGTGGTCCACTGGGGCGTTGCTTGGTATTCCCATGTCTGGTTGTAACTATAAACAGGTAAGTGCAGCAACCACAGCATAATAACCAGGGTATTAAACCTCCTAGGGTACAGTGCCTGGGTCAGTCTATCAGTCAAACCACCTATACTAGCAGAAGTGATAGCTGGGGTGGAGGGGAATCTAGAAAGGGTGGTAGACGTGGAGATAAGGAGTATCAGTTATGGCCTTGAGACCAGCTGCAGCAGTGGAGACTAGTTTGTCCTATTACTCTCCTCTTATAACGTTTCCCAGAAATTGTGACAAATGAGAAGTCTGGGAAAATCGTGCTTGGATGGAGTAACTTAACGTGAAAAGTTAGTGACCTAAGCATTGCAAAGGGCCGACTACAGTGAATTCTCTTTGGGCTCTGCCCAAATCCACTTCATAGGCTAGTGCATCTGTATTTCAGCCGCTCTGTTGGATGACAATTCACGATGCCACCTTCCCCAGAGAATGGTTCTCCTGCCCCTGCAGACCTCATCCAATGGCATGGAGGTACAAAAAGACTGGCCTTCTTGGATAACACCTGCTGGTGAATTTTTGGGATCAGCTGAGGTTCATTCTTATTTCTTTATCCTCCTGGCCAATCCTGCTTCCTCCACTTCCCTTCTCCAGAGAGTACTTCCCTAATACATCACCTGAACAGGAATTCTTGTCTCAGACTCTATTTCTAGGGGGCATGACCCAAGACAGTCTCCAGCCTAACTGGATAGGTTGAGACTAGTTTTGGATGCTTTGCATTTCCTTCCTCAATCTCCATTCTTTCCTTCTGCTAGTGTACCACCTTGCATAAAGGCTGGAACGCTAAAAGTGACATTACCCAGACTTTTCTGTGACTACAGTTCTAATGCAAATTACATTCTGCCAGTTAAAATGTATTCACCAAGATGTGGAAAACTGAGCCAAAGCCGAGGCCGTTTTTCTACCCCCCTTGGGCTGTTTCTCTTGATGGTGAAGGAGTTGTCGAGAGGGGAGGATCTTCTGCAGTAGTGATTCAGCACCCAGTTACTGGCTTTGCTGATGTTAAGAGATAACCGATGGTGGTGGTGACAGAGGCTTTCGGCTGTTGGCTTCCTGATCACTGTACTGTAGCAACTGCTGCAGTACCTTCTTGACTCAGGACTTCCAGAAGCAACCTTGAAAGTGGCAGCTTTCCTCTATTGGTTGGTTCTGTAAGACATGCTCCTTCCATAAGTACTTCAAGTGTTGCATTTAATGCCTTCCTGAATCCTTAAGGAATAATTTTTAAAGTTAACCATAAAAATGATTATGACGAATCTGGATTTCTCGTGGCTGTTCCAATGCTGTCCACAAACTCAGCAAGATTTCAGCTGAAACTTAGATGTCTAACTCAACTACTCAGTTTTGCATTTTAAATTTTAATTAAGGTTGCCATTGTAAGTACTCAAGACACCAAATATACAGAGGATCTTTTTAATGTCATGGTTTAAATTCTCTTAATACCTTTTTATTCTTAATTGTAAAAAGTCCTGAACTTAAAAGATGCATACACACTAAGAGGCTAGGTACCATTCCGGTAAACAGAGATTCATTAGACCAGAGATTTGGGCAGGGTATGAGGCTTGGAATGCAGGTGTCCAGAATGATTTATCTCTCTGTCCCAATTACCATATTGCGTCTCCCTTTAGAGTTACTTTGTCTTGGGCTACAAAAACTGAAGTGAGGTATTGGATTCAAGTTACATATACTACCCATTTGGTCACAGAAACCTGCAGCTTTCCATCAGCTAAATCACTTGATAGGATTTTACATTTTTTGACTCTTAGGTTATATATATATATATATATATATACATATATATATATATATACACACACACATATATGTGTATGTGTATATACACACACACATGCACACACACGTATGTGTGTGTTTTCAGTTTAACATTTGAAGGTATTTACACTTGATGGATTAGTACTGTTTAAAACTCATATAGATACTTAAAATGACTTCTGCTTAAATTGTGGATGTCTTACATGTGGCTTTCTCCAACTCGAACTCACAATTTCTGAGGTCATTGTACTAACATGCATTAATCCTGTTTGCAGAAAGTTCGCATTTTTCTCTGCTCATCCATGCAGTAAGCGAAGGACAGCGTGTCAGGGGCTACACTAAATTCTGGGATATAAAAGTGAATAAAACCATTTGTTCAAATTTAAGGATTTTAGACTCTTAGATGGAGGAGACCTGTAACTTAACAGAAAATCATCGTATTTGCTCAGTGGCTTTTTCACTGACAAGGAGGGCAAGGACCTTGTTTGTCTTATTCCCTGCTGTTATCACTAGCACCTAATACACAATGGCACCCAGTATTTGTTAAGTAAATGAATACAAGCTAAGGTAGAGTTATACAGAGGGAGCTACGGGAGCCCCCACAGGGACATCTGTCTAGTTTTATGTGTGAATACTGGGCTGGATGCTGGAGTGAGGGTGTTACTTCAGAGGTCTCAGAAAAAGTACCTTGAGGATGAGATATGATCTGGGTCTTGGGAAAGGAAATTAGGTAAAAGTGGGTTTGGGTGTTGCTTAGGAGTTCCCAGATGATTGCTGAGGAACTTCAAGTAGTTCTGGGATGCCAAGAAGAGATCAGTCTCTAGAGGTATGCAGCAGACATATCCCAAAGGGCCTGGTAGACGTTGCTGTTTGTGTATTTCCATTTTAGTATCTGTAACAATATGATTTTTTTTTTACTTGGCCCATTTACCCCTACTAAAGCAATAACTCACCCATGCTTAAGACTATACATCTTCTTCACAGGCACTAAGCCTAATGGTAGGGATAGGCTAGCTCCTCAAAAGTTAAGGCAAGGGGCACCTGGGTGGGTCAGTCTGTTGAGCATCTAACCCTTGATTTTGGCTCAGGTCATGATCTCACTGTTCTCAAGATCGAGTCCGGAGGCAGGATCTGCGCTGACAGCGCAGAGCCTGCTTGGGATTCTCTCTCTCCCTCTCTGCCCCTCCCTTGTGCACGCGTGTGCTCTCTCAAAATAAATAAACTTTCGGGGTGCCTGGGTGCCTCAGTCGGTTAAGCGTCCGACTTCAGCTCAGGTCACCATCTTGCAGTCCGTGAGTTCGAGCTCCGCGTGGGCTCTGGGCTGCCGGCTCAGAGCCTGAAGCCTGCTTCCGATTCTGTATCTCCCTCTCTCTCTGCCCCTCCCCGTTCATGCTCTGTCTCTGTCTCAAAAATAAACATTAAAAAAAAATATTTTTTAAATAAATAAACTTTCAAAAAAGTTAAGGCAGGAATGAATGAATTAGTTAATGAACAAACGAATGAAGAATAATAGCAGTGTGAGCACTGTGCAATGGTTAAGCCTTCTGGATGGTAGGGAGGTCAGGAAAGGAGCCTACACCAGGCTGGGCAGAGTCCCAGTCAAGGGCTTAATTAACGGTGAAGTGAGTTTGGGTAAGTGTCACATCTCAGCATTAAAGCTAGAGACATGAATGCAGGGAGTTTCCAAGTGCATTCCTGGCAGGAAAGTGAAGAAACACAGATAAAAGCACTTTAGAATGATCGGGGTTGGTAGTTTCCAGGTGCCAGTGAGCAATAAAGAGAAGAGCCTGGCTGATTAGTTACGTGCTACCGGGGCAGTGAAGGGACAAGAACAGACTGCTGGGTTGCAATCTGTAGCCAGGCTCCGTAAAGGAGCCACAACAAGGCGCAGAGTAGGTGCTACTACTTCCCAAGGGTGGAAATCAGGATGTGTCCCTGGGACTATAAGGCTGCAGGAGCGCTGAGCGGCCCCGTACTTGGACTCTAGAAGGAGGCCCTGGGACAACCAGTCCCGGCCGCGAGCTCTGACGGGGCGGAACGCGCGGAACGCTAGCATCCTAGATCCCGCCGGACACAATTTTCAGTCGCACCAGCGAGCGTCCAGCCGGCGGGGCAGCGTCTGCGCTTGTCCGAGGAGGGACCTGGCAGCGGGGAAAGAAGGGCCAGGGCCTGTGTCCCTCCTCTAGAGCCTCCCCGTCATCTGGACGACCCCAAGCTGCTGCACGGGCTTCCGACTTCTCCCTTCAGTAGACGATTAGAGGGCGCAGCGGCCTCCGGAGACAAGCCCCTCTCGCCCACGCCCGTCGGTCACAACCTTCCAGGACCCGAGAGCAGCGCCGCCCGCCGCGAACTTTCCTCAGGGCAGGAGGACTGCCCAGCTTTTGGCGAGGTGAGCTCGGGGAAAGGCTCCGGGTCGGCCACTACTTCCGGGAGACGCTCAGGAAAGCAAGCCCTCCTTGGCCCCCGTCTCTCCTCCGATTGGTTAACTGCTCTCTCAATGCCCTCCCCTAACTGGTGATTGGCTCAGATGCACCGTCTGTCACCTGCCTCCCTGTGGGAATCCAGGTCGCTAAGGGAAGCGTTCCTTGAGGCTCGGTAGGGAAAAGGTTGGTTGGGTCCCTGAGCCCAGTTTGTTTACTGTACTGCGAACCGTACCCCGGCGCGAGCTTGCGTCGCAACGGCCAGGAAAGGAACCAGTAGCGGGACGGAGGGCGGGGGTGGCAAGAAAGTGAAGGCTCAGAAGTAAACTGAAGACACCTGACCCTGGTAACATCTGAACGGGAGCAGGGTGGGAAGGAAGGCCTTTGAGAGGGGAGTTGTGATCCCAGGAGCTGTGGCCGTGTGGGAGGGAAGGCCTAGTTTCTGTTGCGGGAGAGAAAAGGGCCTAGCGGGGGGTTTTAATGACCTAATTGTTTGGGGGATCTGATTTTCTAGGCGAGCGTCTAAGAGGATCCACTGAAGGTTTTGCTTTGACTTTGCAGCAGAGCTTTGACTTTGTTAGCCATTCCCGTCCTTCAAAGAGACCATTTATTGAATGATTGAATTCTCTCTTATTGCTCCAGATGGGCAGCGCTCCAAAAAAGCACAAACACTGGAAGGATGGACACCACTGCGTGTATTGAAAGCATGTTGAAAGGAAAATAAGGTATTCACTTTGTTTAGTTGTGGTTAATCGTGCAAGAAAATTACCTGCGAGAAGAAGCTCTTAAAGTTTTGAGTGATTGTCAGGGTAGCTTGGTTTTTATGATGGGTTTCAAATTTTTTAAATGTTTAGTACAAAAATTTTATTACTGCTCTCCCTAGCACACGTGCTCTTTGCTAATGATGGCCTTGTCGTGATTATTCTGAAAATGGAAACCTTGAGTTTTTAGTAACGTTAATTTGCTTTTGATTGGGTAGTGTCATTCGATCTTTCCTTTAAAAAAGGACATAATAGTCACTGTAATAAAATCCCCAAATTTGGAACTTAATGTTAGAATGTACATGAAACTGGATACTTACACATAGTTCAGACTTGTAGACTAATTTACTTTGTATTTAAAGTAGTTTGCTTATTAAACACTGAGTCAGAGGCGCAGCCGTTGCTTCTCTGGTCACCTAGTTATTTGATCCTCCAGCCTCCATTATGTCATGTGCTACAATCACGCACACCCTTTATTGACACCTAGAAATTGTCAAGGAATAGTTTATTTCCTTCCACAGCACGCCCAAATTAGCTTTTAAAGGTAGACCTGGGCCCTACCTTGGAAAATTCTGATCTGGGATTCGAGATGAGATCTAGGGCATCTGTATTTTTAAGAGTTTCCTCAAATGAGTTTGATGTGCCTTCCCAGGTGAGAGGCGTTGACTTACTAAATAGATGCGTTTAAGAAATTCTAAGATAGGGGCGCCTGGGTGGCGCAATCGGTTAAGCGTCCGACTTCAGCCAGGTCACGATCTCGTGGTCCGTGAGTTCGAGCCCCGCGTCAGGCTCTGGGCTGATGGCTCAGAGCCTGGAGCCTGTTTCCGATTCTGTGTCTCCCTCTCTCTCTGCCCCTCTCCCGTTCATGCTCTGTCTCTCTCTGTCCCAAAAATAAATAAAAAAAAATTCTAAGATATTTGTGAAACAACTTTCCTCATTGGTTTCTTTTCTGTGCAAAAGTAAGCCTCTAAGGAATGATGCTTGAGTATAATCAAAAAAAATAGGGTTTGCCTAGGCAAGGTCAGGAAGTTTCACGGGCACTCAGAAACCTCTGGGACTAACCAGGCCTGAGGATGAGGTTTGCTGTGGGGAGACACAGGGTGCTCTGATAGACATTCACAGTCCTCAGAGCAAGCGTGTGGTGTTTCCTGTTAGGTTTAACAGACCAGCTGCCAAGTCTGTTCAGTAGATACAGTAGGCCAAATTATTTTTACCTAACAAAGTGCAATGGAGGGTAATATTACATAATGTGAGTTTTATTTGGGGGAGAATACCTTTGCTGGAAATAAATGTAAACGATAGCCTCCCAATAGCTGTGTGCTTGCTAAGTAAAAAACAATTTCAAATCATGCATAAAGTGCATAATTCAGCTTATGTTTTTGTATGCTAACATGAAGTACCCAGATATTCGAACTATCAGTGAGGGTTTTAGATCAACTTTATCAGAGAGTGAAGGAGGCAGAAAAATGAGAGAAGCACTTTGGTATTCAGCTATGAGAAATGCGTGGTAAAACCAAATCCAGTCTGCTTTAAGCAAAGAAGTAGGTCCAGTTGTGTTCTGTCTCCTAGAAGCTGCTTTTCGTTTCATGTGTGAGTTCTCCACTGCAAGATTTGGCATATGAAATATATGAGCAGGGGACGAAATTTAAACTGAAAGTAAAGAGACTGTAAGTCAAAAACACGAAGCTCTGTGTAGTCCATGACTAACAGCCTGGATCTTGCACATCTTGTTTGAACAGAAAGCCAGGAATCTCAGTATGAATCCGTCTAGATCGAGATCGGACGATGGTAGTGGAGAAGCCTCATCTCAAGACCATAATCATCGTGAAAGTGAGAGAAGATGGCAGCAAGAGCGTCTCCACAGAGAAGAAGCCTATTATCAGTTTATTAATGAACTCAGTGATGAAGATTACAGGCTAATGAGAGACCACAATCTTTTAGGCACCCCTGGTAAGATATGGGTAAAAGAGGAGACACCTTGTTTTATTATAGTAAGGAGGAGTTTCAAAATAAGGAGGGTGTTTCCCCCCCTTCTTCCCTCTCCCAAAATATGAGGCACTATTTTTGTGAATTTAAGAACCTTGTAATATGACAAAACAGAAAATCACTGGCTTCTCTTTTTGATAAGTATGAATCTTAGACATGGAGCTCACAAATGTACATAATAGTGTCAATTTTTTACATATATGGCCCTGTTTCTCTTTTAAGTAATAGTTGTAAATTAGATATTTTTAAAAACCAAGTTCTGGGGCGCCTGGGTGGCACCGTTGGTTGAGTGTCCAACTTTGGCTTAGGTAACAATCTCGTGGTCTGTGAGTTCGAGCCCCGTGTCGGGCTCTGTGCTGACAACTCAGAGTCTGGAGCCTGCTTCACATTCTGTGTCTACTCTCTCTCTGCCCCTCCCCCGCTTGGTCTCTGTCTCTCTCTCAAAAATAAATGAACATTAAAAAAAAAAAAAAAATTTCAGGTGTTATAATTTATTTATTTACTTAGCTGAATTAATAATGCTTCAAAAGTCTAGTGTGTTCCATAAGTTTTTTACAAATTTATTTCAGAAATGAACTAATTGAAACTTGTATGTTTGTACAGGATATATTTGTATATTGCATATTTGCGCGCTGTATATTGATGACTGATATAATGACCTGTTGAGGTAACATTCAAGCAGATAAAGATTCAGAGTTTTTCCTAGAAATACTTCCCTTTAAATTCCTCTTAACTCTAATAAAAATCTACGAATTAGGGCTTCTAGATTCCTAAGTGTATCAACTGAGAGGATTTTTAAAAAAGTATTCAAATTAAATTCTATTTTTATTTTAATAAAACACAACCAAAATGATGTATACTTGCATCAATTAAATATTTTTTTTTCTTTTTTCTTTTTTTTTTAATTTTTTTTTTCAACGTTTATTTATTTTTGGGACAGAGAGAGACCGAGCATGAACGGGGGAGGGGCAGAGAGAGAGGGAGACACAGAATCGGAAACAGGCTCCAGGCTCTGAGCCATCAGCCCAGAGCCCGACACGGGGCTCGAACTCACGGACCGCGAGATCGTGACCTGGCTGAAGTCGGACGCTTAACCGACTGTGCCACCCAGGCGCCCCATATTTTTAACTGTCTTTCAATGTAACAGACCATGAAAATAACTGAATGTCTTTCGCAGATCGCTAAAGATTATTAGTCTTACCCTTCACGAGTTCTCATAAAACAATCATTTAAGGTATTTAGTTTCACTGAGCAATTTTTTATTGTTTTTAGGAGAAATAACATCAGAAGAACTACAGCAGCGATTAGATGGAGTCAAGGAACAAAGAGCATCTCAGCCTGACCTGAGAAGTGGGACAGATACCAGAGGTACTGCGGACTCCTTTCCATTAGGAACAGGTTTAATTAGAGCAGTGGCAGACATGAACTTACTAGATCTTGGACAGTACTTTTGTTTTTAATGTTTTCCAGTTTTACTGTGGTACTCATTCAGATAGTATTTACCCATCATGTGCAAAGCAGCCTAGTTAGGCAGTACAGGACAGGGGGTGAATACAAAGACCTTTTACACACACAGATTGCCCTTGGGGAGCTCATGTATGTGAAATAGTATACCATGAAGTTAATCACCAGCATAATTCTTTTTAATCTTAGAATGCACACACTACTTCTTTTAAAGTAATGTAACTAAACTTAGCTTCTAAAATTTTCTACAGAGCAATACAGAAAGATTGAGAAAACATGTCTTTATTGTTAGTTTTATTATTTTTGTGTTTGTCGTGTTACTGAACAAACACTAAGTCATAAAAAGTTCTTATAAAAAATAAAGTGAAAAAATTTCAAACTAAACAGAAGTGTATAGAATTAAAAGTAAAGCCAACTCTATGTACCTCTTACCAGTTCTACTTCCTTCCCCAGAGGTATTCATTATTGGTAGTTTCACTTTTTTTTTTTTTTAAGTCATTTCACATATTAAGATTATTGTATTAGAGCAAAGACGATTAAAAACTCAAAAATGCAACGGCTCAGTGAGATACAAGTTTCTTTCCTGTTAACAGTCCAGGGGAGATAGGCAAGCTTTACTCCATGAATCCTCTTGGAACCCAGCCAGCAGAGTAGTTCTATCACTGTACCATCCAGTACAGGAGCTACTAGTCCTATGTGACCATTTAAACTTAAGTAAAATTAAATAACATTTAAAATTCAGCTTTTCACTCCTGTTAGCCACATTGAAGTGCTCGGTAGTCACATATGGTTAGTGACTTCTGCATTGGGCAGGACAGACGTAGAAATTTCCACTGCTGCATATTTTCATATTTGCATATTAAAAGTTTCACTGGACGCTGCTGCTCCAGGATATTGTGTACATGATCCAGCTAAGTCACAACCACATCTAGGTTCTAGCTGGCAGGTCTAGGTTCCAGAAAGAGGTCCAGGCACCAGTCCGAAAGTGAGATCTATCACTTTCACTGCTATTCCACTGATGAGAACTTAGTCACATGGCTGCACCCAATGGCCAGGCTGTTCACGTGACCATTACAGTGCATTTGTAAAAGGAGTAGGGCAGGACGGTTTTCATTAGATTATTAGTGAACTGTTTTACGCACACCATCATCATACGTTCTAGTAACTGAAGATGGAAGTTGCCTTTAGCATGTTTTTTATCTGCCTTTTACTCCTGTCTCTTTCCAAATTAAAATGGAAATTGGATTTCCTTTTTTTTTCTGTATATGTAGATATGGAAGTTATACCATATTGCTATAGCTGGTAATGCTGGTCCTTTTACTATGTTTTAATGGAAAATGTACTTACCGCATGTAAAATAGCTTGTATCTTTTAAATATGGCTAAAGGTGGTTTATTTTATTGACCCAGCAGTTGATTAATAGCTTTAACTTTAATATTTAAAAATGGTTTTTACAAGAAATTTTTATAAGAGATTGAAACGAAATCAAAGCCATCTCATTTAACGGCCATTTTTGTGTAGAATAAACTTAAAGGTTAAAGTCTGTATAGTTCATGTGCATTAGAATGATTTTCATTGACTTTTTCCCTTTATATAATCCACTGGTTAAAAATGGAAAACTTAAGCTTCCCGTAGTAGCAGTGTTATGGAAGTTTATCAGGGGCACATTTTTTCTAAATTGATTCATTCAACATTAATTGAGAGAGTCTGATTTGTACCGCATACTGTTGTAGAGGTGGGGATTTAACGGTAAATAAGATAAGATAAAACTCTTCATCTTCCTGGAGCTTACATTCTAAATGAACAGAAAATATTCATAATGGCTAACATTTATTGAATGCTTCCTATATGCCAGGTATTGTACTAATCATTTTGTATCCAGTATTTTATTCTCATGATAATCCTATGACATTTATACTTTTATTATCTCCAAGTTACAAATAAGGGTACAGTCATAGAGAACTTAGGTAGCATGCCTAAAGTTTCCCAGCTTCACATAAAGACATAATGTAGTGCTAATATGTATTCAGAAAGGCATATTTCTTAAAGTGTACAGTGTTGGCAGTTCCTGAGAAATAGGATAAAATTCCTGAGGTCATGAAAATACCTCTAGCTGTAAAATGTTGACTTCCCTTTACCAGAAGAACCCCATTCACAATGAATTATATATAAGTTTTGCCACTATATTTTACTGATTTTACCATATGGCTAAAGCAATTTAAATGTACTGTTTTAGTATTGGCTGTATTTCTCATCTGCTTTAGTTTTTTTAAAATATTTATCTATCTTTGGGAGAGGTTGAGTATGCAGGCGGGTGGAAGGGCCAAGAAAGAGGGAGACAGAGAATCCCAAGCAGGCTCCGTGCTGTCAGCACAGAGCCTGACACAGGGCTTGAACTCACGAATGGTGAGATCATGACCTAAGCTGAAATCAAAAGTCAAGCACGTAACTGACTGAGCCATCCAGGCGCCTCCTCATTTGCCTTAATATTTTGCCAGTAATGGGCTTAGAGAAAGTAAGAATGAGGATTTCTTCAGAGCTTTGCATAAACAGTATTTATAGTTTTATAATACATCAGAATGTATTATAATATGCATCTAGTATATACTTTTAGAAATTCCAACTTTTTGCCATTTTCATTCACTAAAATGCATAGATGTTCTTAAATATTATTGAATTTAATAAAAAATTTATCTTGTAAGCTTTAATAAAAGTCTAAAGATTTTAGGAACTGATCTTAAGTTGATTTGCTTTGCTTTCCAGACTCAGAAGTCCCTAGAGAAAGTTCAAACGAAGATTCTCTGCTAGAATGGTTGAACACGTTTCGACGCACGGGAAACGCGACCCGAAGTGGACAAAATGGGAACCAAACTTGGAGAGCTGTGAGTCGAACAAACCCAAACAGTGGAGAGTTTCGGTTTAGTCTGGAAATCCATATAAATCATGAGAATAGAGAAATTGAAATTCATGGCGAAGATGAGACAGGCATTCCACTTTCAGATTTTGGCAGGGATCGTACTACAAATAGGCAACAGAGGTCAGCCAGTCCTGTGGCTAGGCGAACGCGAAGCCAAACCTCCATGAATCACAGTGGTAGTAGCTCCAACATCCCAAGGACTAGGCTTGGTTCAAGGGGGCAGAATTCAGCAGAAGGATCTTTCTCAACATTGGGAAGATTAAGAAATGGCATTGGGGGAGCAGTTGGCATTCCTAGAACGAGAGCTCCGCGTGCTGATTTCGGTAGTCATGCAAACCAGTTGGGTGGTAGTGAACTCAGGCAGAGGGAGGGGCAACGGTTTGGAGCAGCACATGTTTGGGAAAATGGGGCTAGAACTAATGTTACAGTGAGGAATACAAACCAAAGATTAGAGCCAATAAGATTACGGCCTGCTTTCAGTAGTCGAAGCCGCTCGCCAATTCAGAGACAAAGTGGCACTGTTTATCGTAACTCACAGAGAGAAAGTAGACCTTTACAGCAAAACGTCAGAAGGTCTGTTAGGAGGAGAGGTATAACGCGTGTCTTTTTAGAGCAGGATAGGGAACGTAGAGGTACTGCCTATGCTCCATTCTCTAACTCAAGACTTGTGTCAAGAATAACAGTAGAGGAAGGAGAAGAATCTAGCAGATCTTCAACTGCTACACGACGACATCCGACAATCACACTGGATCTCCAAGTGAGAAGGATTCGTCCTGGAGAAAACAGAGATCGGGATAGTATTGCAAGTAGAACTCGATCTAGGGTAGGGCTAGCGGAAAATACAGTCACTATCGAAAGCAATAGTGGGGGCTTTCGCCGAACTATTTCTCGTTTAGAGCGGTCAGGTGTTCAAACCTATGTTAGCACTATCACAGTTCCTCTTCGGAGGATTTCTGAGAATGAGCTTGTGGAACCGTCATCAGTGGCTCTTCGGTCCATTTTAAGGCAGATCATGACTGGATTTGGAGAATTGAGTTCTTTAATGGAGGCCGAATCTGAGTCAGAGGTTCCGAGACATGGTCAGCATTTACCAGAGAGGCACTCAGATCTGAGCACCGTAGGTGCAGTTAATGACATCAGCCAGCACAGTGAAGGTTCCTCTCAAAACAGGCGGGCCCGAGAAGACAGCTCTGAAATGCGTGGTGAAAACGAGACTCCCCAGCCTCCCGCCCGAAACAGTGATAGCAGAGGTGGCCGGCAGTCGCGAAATTCAAATAACTTAGTTGAAACTGGAACACTACCTATCCTTCGCCTTGCTCATTTCTTTTTACTAAATGAAGGTGATGACGAGGATCACATACGTGGTTTAACCAAAGAGCAGATTGACAATCTTTCCACCCGGAACTATGAGCATAGCAGTATCGATAGTGACCTAGGCAAAATCTGTAGTGTTTGCATCAGTGACTATGTGACTGGAAACAAGCTCAGGCAATTACCTTGCATGCACGAATTTCACATTCATTGTATTGACCGCTGGCTCTCAGAGAATTGCACTTGCCCCATCTGTCGGCAGCCTGTTCTAGGGTCCAGCATAGCAAACAATGGGTGAAGCGTTGGGTCTGTTCAAATAGTACATTTTAGTAGAGCTGAGTATTTAAGCACCCTTTTGTTGAATTCTTTGTGATGAGCTAACCAGGATGAAGAAGAACAGATTATTATAGTTTGCACTATTTTTTGTGTGCTTTTTTAACTTGTTAAAAAAATTTATATAAAACTTAAAATGGCAAATGTTAAATTATCGACAAGTACAGAATAGTCAATATTGCTAGAACCAAATAATCTTTAAAATGTTCTTATTTTGGTAATTTCGTCATGCTAAGCACTTTTGTATCTGCACAATTCAGTAGGTTAACAATCAATCTTCCTTTTCTTAACAGCACAGCAGACTTTATGTGGACTTTCAACTTCCATAGGCTTAGTGCCATGTCCAGACAATGGTGTCTAAATAAGCCTTTCGTTAACTTTTTATTGTAAGGACAATATCTTTTCATGAGAGAGTGTTTGGCTGAATGTTTGCTCTATATATTTAAGTTACTTGAAATGTTAAATTTAATATGCAGCATACCATATATGTATATATAGATATATAATTTTAAGGGTAAAATATTCCGTCTAAAAACTACCAGTTTGGTTCTTATTTAAGCTTTTGGGCTATTACTGCATATGGCACAATGTGTAACATTTACAGGATCATCTCTGGGAGGAAATAGATATTTAAAAATAGAGATAATTTACTGAAGCGTCTCTGACAATCTTACTAGACAGCAAGCAATATGTAATACTGAACAAGTATTTCTTTACTCAGAAATGGAACATGGACATTTTAGTACATATAGATTATTTAACTTGCGTTCGGCCTTTTTGTGACTTGTTTGAATGTGCAAACAATTCTTTGGATTATATTAAGTAAGGTATACAAATATGCATGGTTTCTCAAATTTACTTTTAAAATTAAAAAAAAAAAAAAAGTCTATGAAGAATCAAATGCATAGATAATGTGTTAAGTTTACTTGGAGGCCAAAAACTCCAAATAATACAAAACAAAAAACCCTTAAGAGAATGTGGAATTTATATGAACACGAAGTATGCATTGAAGATCTATTTCTACCAATAAATATTAAAACAAAGCTGTATGTGAACTTCTTTTCTCTTGGTCCCCTGTGATTTATTTTTCAAAAAAAGAAAAATTTCACACCTACAAGGTGTCAGACAGTGTTACAGGTGCTGAGGATTCAGCTGAGGACAGAGTACCTATCTTCACAGGAAGAGAACATTTAATGAGTTACTGAATTAAATGAATATATGACACAGTTTTCCTGTGGTGATACTGCTTGGGGAAAACCACAAGAACAAATTCCTCAGGACCAGATTCGGGAAGATTTACGTGTATCTCAAGATTGTTTTTCCTTCTGATTAAGTAACTATATTCATCAGGTAAGATGCGTACTTCAGGGAGTGCATTTAACACCTGGAGGGAAAGCGTTTAGTAAGAGTCATGACTTTGTTTGGAGTAAATGGTTTATGTAGATCAATCATGGGGCTGGGAGGTTTGAATGCTTTAAATGCCAGACTAAGGAATTTTACTTCACCTTACAAACTTTTGGTGTCTCTTGGTGAATTTAGTGGCGAATGGTAAGATCATTTTTCATGTTTCAGGAAAATTGGTGTGGTGTAGTGTTCATAACACAATGGAGTAGAGAGAAGGGGGAAGCAAAAAAACCTTAATAAAGGAACCACTGTGGTCATTTTTGTCATCCGTTATCCTCATCCTCAGTTACTAGCTAACCTAGCGCGATGGCAGTGAAACTGGAAAGAGAGAGAAGAGAATAAAAATGTTGGGAAAAAAGGACATTATTTGGTTTCTTGTTCAGTATGAAGTGGGAGAGTGATATATTCACAGATGGAAAATCACCCGAATAGAAGAGAGAGAGGTGTTACAAGCTATGCCAATGTAGACATTTATCTTAAATATGCACCTCTCCCTCGTTTCCGTGATACCATTTGTTCCCAGTATGACCAGAGACTAAATCCAGCATTTTTTGCTCATGTGGAATATTCTTCAGCAAGTTCTACCTTCCCTGGCTTGATCAGTTAGGAAAATCAAGAGGAGAACACAGAAAGGGGGAAATGAAAAAAAGTAGGGATAAAGGAAAAAATACAAGCACGTTGATTCTTTGACTTAGTCCTTTGCAAGACATGGTAGGACCAGCATTGAAGGGACCCCAAATCGGCATTTGAAATAGAACTACATTGTACAGTTTATGGAAAGTTCCCGCTAAGCAGCAGGCTTCATATATTTTGTAAATTGGTATCCTAGTCGGGAACAAAGGAGTGTTTTCTGTAATATTTTCATTCATTTCCCAGTAAACAAAGCTGATGACAAATACAAAGGCTCTTTATCTATTTATAGCCTCTATTTAGCAATGATTGCATGCCTTATGGTTCCAATATAGAAAGGAACAAATAGTTTGAAACGCTTCATTTGAATATTGTGCTCCATGTTGTGTCCTTAGAGCTTATTCTTGATAGTGTGGCTGCCTTGCAAACTTGTATTTCAAAACTGTCAGCCTCCCACCTGCTTTCCCTCTTGTATCCCAGATGTGTATAGTTTCAAGTAGCATTGACCTGTACTTGACTACCTTTTATTTGCCCTGTGGTTATTTTCCTTTCAGTTTTTAACGTGAATTTATAATTTAAGCCTCCCAAGATCTTGAAGTATTATTGCCACTTCACATAGTGAGTAGCAGAGTTCAGAGTCACACACAGGACCGTTTGCCTCCAAAGCTTGTGCTTTTCCCCCTCAACTGCATTCTGGAAAAGCAGAAATGCTTGGTCCGCAAACAACGGGAGGACTGCTCCTGAAAGTTACAAAGCGGGATCTGTATTGTGAGGATGGGTCCAGAAAAGAGATGGGACCTGAAGACCCTGTGTGAAGGATCGTAGTTAATAAGTTGAGTCTGAGGCATTTTCACAAATACTACTCCTGGACAAGAACTTCCAGTGAATTTCCAGTCTTCCTGCACCTCTCCATCTGAATAACGTCTGGCCAGAGGAGGAAGACGTTGTGTGGAAATAGTACTCCACATACGTGGGCAGTTCTTCTTCCCTTTGCAGTGGCAGCAAGCTCCTCTGGGGTCTCTTCCTCAATCCTGTGGGACGTTGGAGGTCAGAGAGCTGGGGTACCTGTTAATACAGAAGATGATTGCCCAGCAAGCCATCTGTCACCGAGAACGCCAGATGTTCCATGTTCCACAGGACATGACTGTAAGTGTCAGTGGTGACTGTTTTCCTCAACGTCTACAGGCAGATTGTGAGTTGTTTTCAGTGACTATGGAGGTATTAGGTCCTGAACATATCTGCCCTTAGAATAATTAGGGATCTTCAATTACTTTCAGCAAGTTTTTTAAAATTTATTTTGAGCATTAAATCTCTGAAGAGTCTGAGTTGGCCTCTATACTTTTCTTTTTCTTAACCGCCCCCCTTTTTTTAGTAGCGTAATCACATATCTTCTCCAAAATAAAGCTTTCACGTGTATTTTTCCTCTATTAATGTCTTGTTAGAAAAGTGTAACCTCTTGATTGCCTAGTATATATGTACACTTCCTTCTCACACATTTAACCTCAAATATGCCCCTATTTATAACCAGAATCCAACTGTCTTCTGTGCAATTGCAAAACATTTTCACATTCTCCCCGATGGGAAACGATACAAATTCATTTACAGCTTCTGTACTGTGAGGTGACACAATTTAGCCACTCTTAGGAGTTCAGATTCAGAATAGTGAACTGGATGGTGTCCACTCTTCCATTCGATTGGATTTTTTTTTAATTTTTTTAACATTTATTTATTTTTGAGACAGAGACAGAGCATCAATGGGGGAGGGTCAGAGAGAGAGGGAGACACAGAATCTGAAACAGGCTCCAGGCTCTGAGCGGTCAGCACAGAGCCCGACGCGGGGCTCGAACTCATGGACCACGAGATCATGACCTGAGCTGAAGTCGGAGGCTTAACCGACTGAGCCACCCAGGCGCCCCTCCATTAGATTGGATTTGATTCATTGTGACTTCTTACCATCCAGCTTATGGGATAAATGATAAATGTGGCTCCTATCTACCTTGATAGAGTGAAGTGGAATAAAGATCAAACAAAAAAGGGTGAAAGAAGCGTCACTGATTACACTGATTACTAGTATAGAATGTGCACACATCTTGCTGAGCAAGCTTAGAAGGATGAATGATAGAAATAATGAGACTTGTAAGCATCTCTTTGTTGACTCTCTTATCTGGATGTAGACTAAGTTTGGTCAGCCAATTTGGCTGGCCTAATCCTGAATTAGGGCCACTTTCAGAAAGATAACCCAGTGAGAATTTCCGTACTGGTGGTGGGGGTGAGTGGCAGGGGCTCGAAGGTTTGAGAGGATGCTAGTGAACAGTTTTGATCTTAGCACTTTGATGTGAATCCTTGGTTCAGGAACTGCCATAATGTTGAACAGGTCTCTGTACAATAGGTTAGGGGCTTTTTGGACAAGTGCCTTAAAACTTTAATTAGCTCCTTAACAGTTTCATTTGGGGTCTCATCTCAAACACCACAAGTCTTGTATTGTTCTTGATTTACTAGAGGGAATAGTCATGACCCTTACAACACCTTTAGGACTTTTCTTTTTTTTTTTTTTTCTCTTTTTTTCTCTTTTTTCATTTCTTTCCTTTTCTTTCTCTTTTTTCTTTCTTTCTTTCAGTATTTTGTTAAAAGGACGCTTCTATTGCTTAGCTAAATAGATTTTACTTCTGGTGTAGTTTGGGGGCTTTCTTTAATCTTCCTTTGAGTGTTGCCATTGTCCCTTTGCTGCATTTCAGACAGTGTGTTTTACAATAGGAAGGAGGCTTCTTCATTTTCGTCCGAAGGGTGACGCAGAGTGACCATTCCACTCTGATCAGTTGGGGTCAGGTCACGTGGCCAGTCCAGCGCAAGAACGTAGATTGGGAGCGGTTTAATTATATTTTCAGTCCCATCATTGAAGCACCTAATGTTCCTGATAACTCTCTGTTGGAAGATCCCAAGACCACCTCCAGGTCAGTGGTTGGCTAGGACTCATGGGACTGAGTATGTAGTTGTGCTCACAGCTAAGATTTATTATAAGGAAAGGAGACAAAGGGCAAAGGGACATGGGGCGAAGTCTGGATGAAACCAGTCAAGCTTCCAAGAGTCCTATCCCAGTGCAGTCCTACAAGACACACATTCCTCCAGCACCAAATGGGACATGGAAGAAGTGTTGTTGTTAAGGAAGCTCATTACAGACTCAGTGCCTGAGATTTTTATTGGGGGCCGGTCATGTAGGCACCTCTGCCTGGCATGTACCAAAATCCCAGACTCCCAGAAGGAAAGCAAGTGTTCAGCATGAACCACATTATTTGCGGTTTAGGCACGTTGAGACACCTCTTTCAGTAGGGGGATGGTGGAAACACTCCCCAAATCAAGTGCCTAGACGCCAGCTAAGGGTCCGTCTTTCACGAAGGCCTTTCTGAGGATAGCCTAAGGCCTACTATGTGAATTCCGCACACACACCTCTATCTCTAGCTCAGAACATTCTCCTGAATTCTAGGACCACGTTTTTTTTTAAGTTTGTTTATTTTTGAGAGAGACAGAGACAGTGTGAGCAGGGGAGGGGCAGAGGAGAGGGGGAGAGAGAGAATCCTAAGCAGGCTCTGCATGGTCAGCACAGAGCCTGATGCGGGGCTCGAACTCACAAACATCATGACGTGGGCCGAAACCAAGAGCCAGATGCTTAAACTGACTGAGCCACCCAGGCGCCCCACTAGGATCGTATTTGTGGCTGCTTTGGTTAATGTCTACCAGGCTGCCTCTTTGGAACCTCAGAGCCAACACGTCTAGAACTGAAGTAGTAATCCTTTTCCGTCAAACTGTTCCTCACCCTCTTTTCTGAGCTCAGTCAATGCCATTCCCTGGCCTGGGTTCTTGAGTTTGGCCAAGAAAGAACTCAGAGCCAAACTCTTAAGCAGCTGTTTAATAGCAGCTACAGCAAGGGGCGCCTGGGTGGCTCAGTGGGTTAAGCGTCTGACTTTGGCTCGGGTCATGATCTCGCGGCTCGTGGGTTCAAGCCCTCTGCTGACAGCCTGGAGCCTGCT